AACCCCTACGGGGTGTGGGCGGGCCGCCCCCATCGTATACCAGGAGGCGTACCGGCGCTTCTACGGCACCGTCTAGCGCCCGCCGCCGTGCCGCGGCCCCGCGGGTGCGGGGGCCGAGCTCAGCGCACCACCCTCCCCCCAGCAGCCCTCCTTTCGCACCCCTTTCTCTTAACTGTGGAAAGAAATAAATGCATAAATGGCGGAGCCAGCTCCTTCCCAGTCCGAGGGTGCGGGAAGGGCGTGAGACCGCAGCAGAAGCGCCCCACGCCGTCCCCACGAGGCTGAAGACCCCCGGCCTCTTCCTCCCTCTCCCAACACCCAAAGGCTCCGGGGCAGAGCCGTGTCCATCACCGGCCGGCGCCTGTCCCTAGCAAGGATGAGCCCGGCGCTCGCACCACCGTTATTCCAGTTTAATTTAAAGCTGCTTCTCCCAAGCGCGGGGTTACTGGGGGCAGCGGGGCTGCGCGGCGGAGCCCTGCGCCCTTCCCAGCGGCGGGGTTTCCTTAGCCAACCACCCTTTCCTTAAGGAGGGGAAGCGAGGGGAGATTGGGACCCGCGTCCCACACATGGCGCTCTGCCCGGCCGCAGCCAAGGCATCCCGGCCCTTCCTGCGCGCACGCACACGCGCGTGTGCGCGCCTCGTGCTGGGGGCTGCTGGGCTCCGTCTCTCCTATCCCCCCAAACCACCTGCGACGTTGCTGCTGGATCCCCGCACGGGGCGACGCACATCCCCTGCCCCAAAGTCATCTCCGGTACAGCCCTGGCCGCAGCGCCTGAGCTCCCACGGCTCAGGACGCCCTGGCCCACGCTCCCCGCGCCCACCAAGCCCGGCCTTTGCCACCCCTCTGCACCCTCACCTCACCCTCACCTCACCCAAACCCCTCAGCTCGGCCCCAGCCCCGTCCCCGCAGCCCTCGGCTCCCCCAGGCTCCCGCCACCGAGCAGCGGCCGTGCTGCAGCGGGGCCGCGCACGCTGGGTTGGAGCTGTGCTGCAGCAAGCCTGGCTACGCACACGCACACAGACAAACAGACGGACAGACAGACACGGGTCCCCAGGGATCCTGCGCTGAACCTGCTGGGAAAGGGGCCGGTGCAGTGGATTTGGGGTCCCACGCCCCGGGGGCGGAGGCCGGGCGCCTCTGCGCAAGGCTGCTACATGGGTTAGGTGCAGCGTAAGCGCGCTACAGAGCCCTCCCGGCGGAGGTGAGTACGATTAGCCACGTTTACAAGACAGGGAAACTGAGGCACGGGGCGGGGAGCAGCTTGGCTGGCTGCAGAGGGACCAGGGCAGGGTGGGGACGCCATCTCATGGCACCCCAAGGCAGCCAACAGCGGGACCCAGGCGTCCGAGCCCCTCGCCCTCTCCTCCCCACACTTGGGCGGGGGGAAGCTCTGGGGGTGCCAGGGCACCAGGGTCCCCGCAGCCCCTGCAGCCCAGCCCCTCACCCCGCAGCATCACGGGTCCCTGCAGCGCCCAGCCTCGGCGGGGACGCCCGGGGGGCTGACAGAGCTGCCAGGCGCCCGGGGCAAGGCAGCGGTGAAGGCGCCGATGATGGCGGCGTTGCCCAGAAGGGCCAGGCCGGCAGTGCCAAAGGTGCTGGGGAGCCCCGGGGCGGGCAGGCGGCCCCGCAGCCAGGCCCGGCGCGAGCGCACGTCGCAGAGGATGGCCTCCAGCTGGAAGTGGGTGCCCAGCACGGCGCAGATGTGGAAGAGCTGGTGGCTGTGTCCTGGCCGGGGTGAAAGCCCAACGTCACCCCTGGGTGCTGGGACTCCTCGCCCAGCTCCTGCTGTGAGGGGTTGCTTGGCGGGGGGGGGCAGGGGACTGGAGCCGCAGCACTGGGAGGCACTGGGAGGCACTGGGGGCTGCTGCTCACCAATGTAGTCGAAGCGGCCGGGCGCCCGGGGCTTGGGCAGGTGGGACGCGAAGAGGAAGCCGGGGCGGCGCGCGAAGAGGCGGGTGTA